ACCTGTGCACTCTTATTCCCTTTATTAAATATCTTGTTTTCACTAAAGTCATGTTTAAAGCATTTAAAACATCACGTGAACCCCTCACTAATCTTTAAAACTTTGCATAAAGGAGAGTCTTCTTAAATGACAAACAGAGTCCACCCTACAAAACAGGATAAACTGCCACATTAAAGTCCAAAAGGGAAAAACTCCAGACAAGGTTTATTTAAAAGCTATCCTTGTTTTATAAGAGAGTTTACCTCAATAAAAAGGATTAGGGTATTTGTAGCTAATTAACCAAGATTCAATACAAATTTAATAATTAAACAATAAATTTTGATAACAATAGCTGAAAAGAACCAGGAAAAGAGTAAGGTCTCTGGATTTAAATTCTTTTCAAGCAGAAATAAATTCGAGTAAAATAAAAAGTTGTAGTCAAATTTAAGTTACGAGTTTCTAGACAAATAAATCTGTGCTTTTTTATTTTCTAATCAATAGCATAGTTTTTTTAAATCAACTACCAATAGTTAAAGTAGGAGTTACTTTTTTGGTGAGTGGCTCCCTTAGATATAAAATGTATAATTTTTTCTATAATCCAAGTTGTAAATAGTCTTTTAATTTGAAGTATGAGGTTTATTCTTTCAGTTGAAGTTTCATATACTCTTAAACAATATATTAAAATAACTCAAATTAAACACATCCATGTCTATAAGAGTTTCTTTAAAATATACTTTTAATAAACTGTAGGAGGAAACACTGGATTGTCTGGTCTGAAGTGTCTCACTAGAAATATCCTCCTCTCCTCCCCATCTGGTGGTGATCCATGGTAGAAGCTGCCATGTTCCTACAGAGACCCAGCCCATGCTGGGTTGGAGGAGTTGGTTTAACCAGAGGTGGGCACCTAATCCAAGATGGATCAGTTGATCTCTAAGATTTTGGAATAGAGTCACTCTCAATGACTACCCACAAAATATGCTCTTGGGAATCGAAGAGGCTACCACCAGGATTCTTTCCATAAATATTCTTTTTTGCTTAAGCTAGGTTTTCATTACTTTCAGCCAGCTTTCCTTTAACTCTTTTTATATAAAAGTTCAAACATCCCAAAGTAGAAAGAATGGTATATTGAATTCCCAACAACTAACTGCAACAACGATTAACAAAGACCAATCTTGTTTCATCTAGAACCTTACCTACTTCCACCCACCTCCTGATTAAATCACATCAAATCATTTCATCTGTAAAGATTTCTGTACACAGCTAGTATTTTTTTGTAACAATATGCAAAAAATCATACAAATTCAAACATACCTTGATTGACACACTGTATATGGTTTTCATAGTCTTCTGGAGGGACCTGAGTATGAAACACTGAGATACAGGTGTCTTCACGCTCATAGTGAGAAGGATCTATTGATTTTTAAAAATCACTTGTTTAATACACACAAATAAATAAGGAATTGTGTACATGAACAGTTTAAAGAAAAATATAAGATCTAATATTCTCTACAATAGTCCTCAATCCCCTCTACATGCACATTTTTTAAGATAATGTCACTTCCAGGTGGAAACGATAATCACTTTTGTACACATGAGCCACTGAAACAAACAATAGAAATCAAGGTAGTCAAACAGCATTTCCCTAAAACTTCTGTGCACAGAAAATGTACAAGGGCGTGCTAAAATATCACAGTAACTCCCAGAGATAATGCAGCCAAACTCCAACATTCATAATACAGAGGTCACCCACACTGAGTAACTTTGTGTTTTTATTTCTTATTTTAGATCACCAAGGTGAAGGCCTCAAATATATGGTCAGTCATTAAGGTAGAAGAGTGTGTGCCCAGCTGGCGTGGCTCAGCAGTTGAGCATCAACCTATGATCCAGGAGACTGGGGTTAGACTCCCAGGCAGGGCACACGCCCGGGTTGCATTTTGGGCTCAATCCCCAGCAGGGGGGTGCAGGTGGCAGCCAATCAACGACTCTCTCATCACTGATGTTTCTATCACTCTCTCCCTCCCCCTTCTTCACTCTGAAATCAATAAAAACATATTTTAAAAATAAAAATAAAAAGATAGAAGAGTGTGTTTGAAAGAAAAAACCTAAGAGACTCTTAGCTTTATCCTTTTGTGATGTTTTTTATATAACAGCTTTACTGAGATATTCATATACCATATAATTCACTCATTTAAAATATGAAATTCAGTGGGTTTTAATATATTCAAAGACTGTGTGATTTAGTCTCTTGGGCTAATACCTGTAAAGAAATTAGGACATTGTGTTTTTCAGCTCTTTTTGTTTTAATGTAATTTATGTTCTCCTCTTACCTAATTTAGACACTATATTTGCAAGAAACTGCTAATATAAGTCAGTAGCCCCTTTTTTAAGTCTCTCTCTCTCTATGCCTTAACATGATAGAATCTGCCAGGTTGTGGCACAGAAATGTTTTTGCTTCTTAAAACACAAATCTTGAAGATATTATAGGATCCACCACTTACTTCTGAAGCAAACCTCTGGCCCAAGCACCCCTGAGATGACGCAGGCAAAAGGAGCAGGCAGAAGGCACATTCACCCCAACACACAAACAGCACCAAATTCCACACGTACAATTTTGGATAATAAAAACAAATTCACCAACTTGAATTCCCTAATTTGCAATCATGATAATATTGTATCACTGGGATTGCATTACAACTTTAATCCTTGTACAATCTTTGATGAGTTATTCTATCAAATCGGTGGTATAGGCCTTGGGGGGAAAGGGGTAAGCCATTCAAAAGACAAAAAAGTTTCAAATTATTTTCAAACTTTAATTTTTTTGTATATACCTCTTAATTAGTTCATTTTTCTATTACAGTTTGCATTCAACACTATTTTGTATTAGCTTCAGGTGTACAGCACAGCAGATAGATATTCATATAGGTGACAAAATAATCCCTCCAATAATTCAAGTGTCAACCTGGCCCCATACGTAGTTATTACAATATTGTCAACTATATTCCCTATGCTGTACCTTACAGCCCCAGGCCTATTCTGTAACCACCAATTAGCACTTCTTGATCTCATCACCTATTTCACCACCCTCCAATATCCCTCCCCTTTCACCTCCATCAGTTCGTTTTCTGTATCTATAAGTCTGTTTCAATTTTGTCAAACTTTAATTTTTTGGCAACCACTATTATTAAGAGTCTTAAATATTCATTAAAGCACGCTCAGCAAGTCAGCAATTTGGCAACATTATATTATAGGCTTAAGTTACTTCCTATACTTGAAGTGTCAATATATTTATTCTTGATCCCATAATTACTTTTTAATAGCAGTTTTGCTCAATTATACAATAAAGCACCTATAAAAACACAAAAATATAAAACCTTGCAACACTAAACACTTTAAACCTTGGGGCTTCTTGTAGGCTGAAATTATTATTCTTGTGCCTGTGACTCTTAACCCACAGTCTCGGTGATATCCCTGCCTCAGACGGAAGGTGGTAGGGCAGCCAACAAGGCTCGGAGCTCAGCTTTGGATTTAAAAGTCAACAGTTTTGAAAGTCAAGCATTCAGTGCAGGAGTTTAACTCCTTGAGAAGACAAAAAAAGCATTTTCTGAATTCCAAAAGTCCCCCTTTAGAAAGTTCTTCCAGTCAGAGGAAGAAAGAAAGAAGAAAGAGGGAAGGGGGGAGGG